AGTAGTAGTAGTAGTAGTCGTCGTAGCCGAAGGAGTTTCAATTTGTGTAGTAGTAGTAGTCGCAGTAGTAGTGGTAGTAGTAGTCGTAGTAGTAGTAGTAGTAGTAGTAGTAGTAGTGGTAGTAGTATTAGTAATAGTAGTAGTAGTAGTAGTAGTCGTAGTAGTAGTAGTAGTAGTAGTAGTAGTAGGCGTAGTATTAGTGCTAGGGGTGCTACTGCGACTGCTACTGCTTCATCTACTACTACTGCTACTTTTACGTTTATCACTCGCTGCTCCTACCACCACTACTATTACTGCTACTACTACCGTTGCTACCTCCACTACTACTCATACCGCTACTACCATTATTTCCTACAACTACTACTGCGACCTGCTCCTACGACTACGACTAGACTACGACGACTGCTACTACTACGGCTGGTTTTACTACTACGACTACTACTACTACTACTATGTTTTAATTACTACTGCTTCTACTACTACGACTATGACTACTACTAATACGACGATGGCTACTACTACAAGTACCTACTACTACTGCTACTGCTACTGCTACTGCTACTACTACTACTACCACGACTACTACTACTACTACTTCTCACTGCTCACTACTTACTTCTACTGCAGCTGCTCGCTACGACTGCTGCTGCTGCTGCTCCTACTACTACGACTACGACGACTTCTGCTACCGATACTACTACAATTATTTCTACGACGGCCACAACGACGAGAACGTCGACGTCGACGACGAGGACGACGACGACGACCAGTAGTAGTAGTAGTAGTAGTAGTAGTCGTCGTAGTAGTAGTAGTAGTAGTAGTAGTAGTAGTAGTAGTTGTAAGTAGTAGTAGTAGTCATATTATTAGTAGTAGTAGTAGTATTATTAGTAGTAGTAGTAGTCGTAGTAGTAGTAGTCGTAGTAGGTATCGTAGCCGTAGTAGTAGTAGTAGTAGTAGTAGTAGTAGTAGTAGTAGTATTAATAGTAGTAGTCGTCGTAGTAGTGGCAGTAGTAGTAGTAGTAGTAGTCGTAGTAGTAGTCGTAGTAGTAGTAGTAGTAGTATAGTAGTAGTAGTATTACTATTAGAGTTAGTAGTAGTAGCAGTAGTAGCAGTAGTAGTAGTTAGTAGTAGTAGTAGTAGTAGTAGAGTTTAGTAGTATAGTAGTAGGAGTAGTAGTAGTCGTAGTAATAGTGCAGTAATTAGCAGTAGTAGCGTTAGTAGTAGTGTTAGTTCGACTATGGTTGAGTAGAGATAGTAGTAGAGAGTTACAGCGTCAAGTAGTAGTTCAGTAGAGTAGTAGTAGTCGTAGTAGTAGTATTGTAGTAGAGGTAGATTGTTGTAGCCTAGTAGTAGTAGCAGTAGTAGTTATTAGTAGTGTTTGTAGTGAGTAGTTATAGTAGTAGTTTAGTAGTAGTAGTAGTAGTCGTAGTAGTAGTAGTAGTTAGTAGTAGTAGTAGTAGTAGTTTAGTGTAGTAGTTATGTAGTAGTAGTAAGAGGTTAGTAGTGTTAGTTGGTTAGTAGTGGTAGTAGTAGTAGTAGTAGTAGTAGTAGTAGTAGTAGTAGTAGTAGTAGTAGTGGTTGTAAGACTTTCACTACTACTCCCTACGGAGGGCTATTTACGATCACTATTCGTACGACTGCTGCGACTCCTGCTCCTGCTATTGCAACGTTCACAAGTTGTTTGTAACCCTTTTGTTTTTCCCCAAGCAGTGCTTGCAGCTTACCTCATCGCACAACGTATCTTGTATCACGTAGTTTGCATCACACTGGTTGCACCACATGTATCGCATGCCAGGCATTGCTGATTGATGGTCGACTGACTTGATATTCGGGATCCACGCTGACAAACATTTCTCTGGGGTATCGTGGCCCCTCGCCGCGGCTATATTCGGTTTGAGCGGGATCTCGGCCGCTTTCTCAAGGCGGGCCGAGTCCAAACCACCTTGGGGGTTGCTTTGGCCCGTTGGCTATTGCCACCGCTCGCGCAGTAGGCACCCGATCGGAGACGCAGTGGTCGATGGTATCCAATCGGAAGATGCAGTGTTTTGTACTATGGCTTCGATGGTGATCGTCGGTAAATGCGTAGGGACGCGTCAGGTGAAGCGCCAGGGGACGCGTTAGGGGACGCGTCAGGGGCCCCGTCATGGGGACGTGGCAGGAGGTGGTTCGCCATCCGTTCCGCATCCGCCACATGCTGCTCTGCCTTTCCGCTCCGCGGCGACTGGAGGGCCAGGGGCCCTCTCGCTCCCGCCCCTCTGCTCCCGCGAGGGCGGTCACGGTGGCTACCTGCGAGACGCGCGGCCACGGGGCGAACGACAACGCGTGGCCCATGCAGGCTGGCCGATGGGGGGGATGCGTGCGAACGTCGGCGCCCGCGCGCGACAGGGGTGGGGGAGGCCAGGGGCAGGGGGGCGAGCCGGGCGGGGGTTCAGCACGCGACTGCGGCGCGGCCTTTTGCAGCTCCGGCGCCACCTGCCCGCCACGCATGCGGCATCACAGGGGTGGCATCGCACCCGTTGTCCCCACACGAGAGGAAATATTGCACTGGCTCCATGCCGAGGCCAGACTTCGCGGCAGCCTCCGCGTATCGGCTCTTCGTATTGTTACCAACCATCATGTGGTGCTGGGTCTTCGTTTTGAAGAGAGAAGCGACCCACGTCCTCCTCCTTCCTCCTTCCTCCTCCCCCTCCTTCCTCCTCTCACCCTTACCTCTGCTCTCTCGCATGCCCATTTCGGCACACCACTCACAGGGTTCGTGGCCCCATGGGGAGCTCCACCGAAGGCCCCAGTGGCAGCGTCCGCATGCGCCCACCCCGCCCACCGCATGCCCGTTTCAGCACACCCCTCACATGGTTCGTGGCCCCATAGGGCTTTAGGGAGCTCCACCGAAGGCCCCGGAGGCAGCGTCCGCAAAGCGCCCGCCCCGCCCACCGCATGTTCATTTCGGCACCCTTACACTGTTCGTGGCCCGATAGGTAGCTCCACCGAAGGCCCCAGAGGCAGCGTCCGCATGCGCCCACCCCGTTCACCGCATGCCCGTTTCGGCACACCCCTCACACGATTCGTGGCCCCATAAAGGAGTTGCAGCGTCCGCGTGCGCCCACCCCGCCCACCGCATGCCGATTTCGGTTTCGTGACCCCGTAGGGAGTTCCACCGAAGGCGCCAGAGACAGTGCCCGCATGCTCCCACCCCGCATGCCCGTTTCGGCACGCCCTTCGCACGGTTCGTGGCCCCATAGGGAGCTCCACCGAAGGCCTCAGTGGCAGTGGCAGCGTCTGCATGTGCCTACCCCGCCCACCGCATGTCCATCTCGGTACACCCCTCACACGGTTCGTGGCTCCATAGGGAGCTTCACCGAAGGCCCCAATGGCAGCGCCCGGATGCGCCCCGCCCCGCCCACCGCATGGCACACCTTTCACACGGTTCGTGGCCCCATAGGGAGCTTCATCGAATGCCCCAGTGGCATCGCCCGCATGCGCCCACCCCGCCCTTCGCATGCTTATTTCGGCACACCCTCACACGGTTCGGGCCCCATAGGGAGCTCCACCGAAGGCTCCAGTAGCAGCGTCCGCATGCGCCCACCCCGCCCACCGCATGCCCGTTTCAGCACACCCCTCACACGATATGTGGCCCCATCGGGAGCTCCACCGAAGGCTCCAAAGGCAGCGTCCGCGTGCGCCCACCCGGCTCACCGCATGTTCATTTCGGCACACCCTCACACGGTTCGTGGCCCGATAGGGAGCTCCACCGAAGGCTCCAAAGGCAGCGTCCGCGTGCGCCCACCTGGCTCACCGCATGTTCATTTCGGCACACCCTCACACGGTTCGTGGCCCGATAGGGAGCTCCACCGAAGGCCCCAGAGGTAGCGTCCGCGTGCGCCCACCCCGCCCACCGCATGCCCATTTCGGCACACCCTCCACACGTGTCGCGGCCCCATAGGGAGCTTCACTGAAGGCCCCAGTGGCAGGGTTCGCGCGCAGTTCCCCGCCCTTCGCATGCCCGTTTCGGCACACCTTCACATTTTTCGTGGCCCCGTAGTGAGCTCCACCGAGGGCACCATAAGCAAAGTCCACATGCCCGTCCGCCGCGTGTCCATTTCGAGCTCCCCGCCCGCCGCATGTCCATTTCGGCACACCGCTCACGCGGTTCTTGGCCCCACAGAGAGCTCCATCGACGGCCCCATAGGCAAATTCCACATGCGCCCCCCGCCCACCGCATGCCTGTTTCGGCACACCCCTTACACGGTTCGCGGCCCCATAGGGAGCTCCACCGAAGGCTTCAGTGGCAGGGTTCACATGCAGTTCCTTGCCCGCCGCATGCCTATTTCGGCACACCCCTTACACGGTTCGCGGCCCCATAGGGAGCTCCACCGAAGGCCCCAGTGGCAGCGTTTGCATGCGAATGCCCCGCCCACCGCATGCCCATTTTGGCACACCCCTCACACGGTTCGTGGACCCGTAGGAGCTCCCCCGAGGACCTTTGTGGTATGGTTCGCTCGCGCCGCCCCCGTCCACCCCACGTCCATTCTGGCACACCTTCCACAAGTTTCGTGGCCCCAGAGCGAGCTCCACCGAAGGCCCCTGCGGCAGGGTTCGCATGCGGCCCCGCTCACTACATTTCCACTTTGGCACACCCCTTTTCTGGCACACCCCTCAAACGGTTTGTGGCCCCATAGGGAGCTCCCCCGAGGGCCCCAGTGGCAGGGTTCGCACGTTCCCCCCCCCGCCCGCCGCATGTTAATTTCGCCACGGCCCTCACACGGTTCATAGCACCATAGGGGCCACCATTTCTTCGTCTCTTTCGCTTCGCGGTACCCACAGTTGCATATGGTTGGCTCATTCGCCAGTTTGTTGTTTTTCTTCTTTGCGCGATCCTTCTTCAGATCTTTATATTTACATGTAAAGGTAAAACACATAGACATAACATTATATATTACGAAGTATTGTGCATTTATATATTTATATAGAGATAGAGAGAGAGAGAGAGAGAGAGAGAGAGAGAGAGAGAACGACTTGAGCCCATACCATCCCAGCCAGGCTCTTTCCCCCCCTCGCCCCCGTCAACTAGTATCGAAGACGCCCAAGGCGAACCACCATCGCCGCCCCCTGCCTTCTGGAAACGCCCATGCTGTCAAACGTTAGGCCAACGTCTAGCCAAGCCAATGGACTATCTATGCGTCCCCTCAGCCGTTATGGAGCCCCTTGGGAGAACACTGAATAGAAAAAGAGAAGCGAGGACAAGAGAACTATACTAGGAGATGGTGATGATGATGCTGGCGATTATGGTGATGGCGATGGTGATGGTGATGGTGACGATGATGACGATGCTGATGATGCTGATGATGAAGCTGTCTGTGATTATTCAAGCATGATGAATGATAGATGGTTGGGATGATGATGACGATACTGATGATGATGATGCTATGGTGATGGTGATGGTGGTGGTGATGGTGACGATGATGATGCTGATGATGCTGATTATGATGTTGATGCTGATTATGATGATGACGATGACGAGGACGATGATGCTGATGATGAGGATGCTGATGCTGCTGATGTTGATGGTGATGCTGATGATGATGCTGATGATGATACTGATGATGATAATGATGCTACTGATGATGATGACGATGATTATGATGATGTTGATGCTGATGCTGATGATGCTGCTGCTTATTAGGATTATGTTGACGATGGTTATGATGATGATGCTGATGATGGTGATGATGCTGATGATGAGGGTGATGATGACGATGCTGATACTGATGATGCTGATGATGATTCAGATGATGATGATGATGATGATGTTTTCATGATGATGATCTATGATATGCTGATGGTGGTGCTGCTGCTGATGATGACGACGACGATCATGATGATGATAACATTGATGCTGTTGATGCTGCTGATGATGATGATGGTGGTGGTGGTGGTGATGGTGATGATGATGATGATTATAGTGGTGGTGGTGGTGCTGGTGATGAAGATGATGATAATGATGATGATGATGATGATGATGACGACGGTGATGATGATGATGATGATGATGATGATGATGATGGTGGTGGTGGTGATGATGATGATGATGATGATGATGATGGTGATGACGATTATGATGACGACGTCTCGAGCGAGGCGCCCAGTTGGTTTCACCGACCCATTTGCTATCAGAGTGGATCATGGGGATGTCCCGTGCGAGGCGCTCGCTTCAGCATGCCACGGTGGAGCATATTCAACTCGCCCGCCCGTGGCCGGGTGGCGGGGATGTCCCGTGCGAGGCCCTCGATTGGCATCCCCTCCCCCTCCTCCTCTCCTCCTCCTCCTCCTCCTCCTCTCCTCCTCTCCTCCTCCTCCTCCTCCTCCTCCTCCTCCTCCTCCTCCTCCCCCCTCCCCCTCCTCCTCCTCCTCCTCCTCCTCCTCCTCCTCTGCAGGATCCTCGTCGCCACGGCTGTATTCGCCTCGAAGTCCTGGCCCTCAGAGCGTACCTGGGGAGAGTTCCGGGAAGCGGCAGCCTCTGCATCGGCTCTCTTCGCCCTCACCTCCTCCTCCCTCTTCACCCCCCTTCCCTCCTTCTCGTGCCGCTCGCCCGGGCCCTCATCATAGCCCCTCCGTCAGCTCTCCTTTCCCTGCCCCCTCCGGTGCACGGAGCGCCCCAGGGGCGGCGCTGGAGGCGCCGCCAAGGGGCTCCTGCGCCGATCCAGGAAATCCGCGCGGAGGTCCGAGAGTTTGTGTGTTATCTAGTGGCCTGCGGCTCAGCCCGCCACCCTGCTTGCAGTGTCAGTCAGAGGCGCTTTGGATGCCTATGAGGATCAATGGGGAGACCTTTTGCACGCCTCTCTGAGGCGGGTTCGGGGGTGTGCGCCTCGGGGGCCTCTGGGGGGATCTTGAGGCAATCTTCGGGCGGAGGGCTCAAATGTCAATTCGTGTCCCCACTCCTGGGCCCCTCCTGTTGCTGTCGTGGGGGCTTCTTGGGCCCCTCTTGGGGGCTCTTGGGCCGTGGTTGGACAATAATGGGCGCTGGGTCGTCTGGGACTTTCTGAAGATCGAACAGGCGGTAGTGCCAACACCATGCAGAAACCAATGAGTTTTTTTTTTACTATACGATTACGGCCACTTGGGGCCCCTCCAGGGCCTCCAAGACGGATTAGAAGGTGCCCAAGAGGGCTCCAGGACGGTCTTCGGGGCCATCGATGGCCATGTTGGACATGCATGTCCCGAACAACGCGCTCTTGGCCTTTGTGGAGGAAAAGTCACGCGAGCCACTCCCAGAGAGCGCTGGGGAGCGCCCGCAACTCCGGGCTGTGGGCCCCTTGCAGAACATTTGAAGTACTTGGCGCAGAGAACTCCAAGGTACCTGAGGACACTCAAACTCCTGCCTCAGGGAGCCCAGGCGGATAATTACATCTTATGTGGATCTATAGTTATAGATATATGCATACACATCCGTACATTGCTGGAGGGCTCCGTTGCCGCGTGTTGGGCGGCTATTGCTGTCTGTTGGAGTCATGTTGTTACTTCCGGGGTTTGGTGGCCCGTGTTACGTAGGTCGATCATGGGTCATGCTTCAGTTGTCTTGGGGGGGCATTGGGCCGTCCTGCAGTCGCCCTTGGGGGCCGTGGAAGTCGCAGCGAGGAGACCGTGGGGGCCGGTGGTTTTTCCGAGGCACGCGTGGAGAGGCACATCAATTCACCCCAGCCAGCGCGGCGGTTGAACTCCCCCGAGCGCCCCAGAGAGCGCCAGGGCCACCAGGCCCGCGCGGAGGGAGGGGAAGGGAGAACGGGCGTCCCCTGGACCCTTCTCCCTGGACCTTGGGGCAAAACGGATCCTTGAGCCAAGATGCCACTACATATGTTGCACCATGCGCAGGCTGCACCACAGCTGTTGCGCATCGAGAGTGCAGGAGCCCAGTGTTCAGTGGCCACGCTGGCAAGCACGATAATATGTCCGCCTCGGTAGAGATGCATGCCACGGACAGCGTTGGCGCAGTTCGCCCGCTGACGCTCGCGGCCTTCCTGCGAAGGTGGCGCCTCGAAGCCTCTTGGACACATGCTGCAGGCCAGACAAGGTGGCATTCTATCCGTGCGCTTGATATGGACGGCCCTCCTCTCCCCCTCCCCCTCCCCCTCGTCGTCGTCGTCGTTGTCGTCCTCCTCCTCCTCCTCCTCCTCCTCTTCCTCCTCCTCTCCCTCCTCCTCCTTCTCCTCCTCCTCCCCCTCCGCGTGCTCCTCCTCCTCCTCCTCCTCCTCCTCCTCCTCCTCCTCCTCCTCGTGCTCCTCCTCCTCCTCCTCCTCCTCCTCCTGTGCAGCCATTCGAAGTACTTCCAGGCGGGTCCGCGGGCGATTCTGGAGCAAAGTGCGTCCACGAGCACGGCGGGCACCGCCACCACCGTGGACCGGGACAGCGCCCTCCCGAATTGGCCAGACCAATCTCCCGTGGGAGGGGTTTTGTTATGAGGAAAAATCCTGGAGGCCTCGCGCGGCGCGTAACAGCAGTCTTATCTTGTCCACACGTCAGCTCCGTAAGCTATGGGTCCACGCTTGCGCGGCGATGCTCCGAAGTCAGTCCGACGCAAAACCGATGTAAATCCGAGGTAGTCCGACGGGAACCCGACGTAAATCCGACGTGGATCCGACGTGAATCGGGTCTCAAGTTGCTGCGCGAGGCCTCCATGATTTTCTCATAAATTTTGGGATGGGGATTTTTTCACTCCCCCCCCAGGGGTCAGCGAGCTTTCTCAGCAGCGTCCGAAATCATGTACGCATGGCTGTTTCATGCTCTTCGCCGTTCGTGATGTGCTTCGTGACAGGTTTGCAGTCGTGATTATCTGCCCCACGAGGCTCGTCTTCTGCGCGCCGTGGTGCGTTCGGCCCACTCCGCCATAGAACGCGCTTCAATGCCATTCGGATCTCTGTCTGTCAGCCCTCACGTGCAGGGGGTGAACCAGACGATACGCATCCAGAACGCCTGCGTGAATCAGGAGTGGTACGGGTTCAAGACGAAGGCGTCGCGCGCGGCTGCCCAGAAGACCCGGTGGGGCGCAGCGTGGAACGGCTTCTGCATCTCCGTCCTCCCCCTGGTTCCTCGGCTCCCCGCTCCCCTCGGTATCGTTTTACCCACCCGCATCTCAACCCCCATCCCCATGCATACCCCCACCATCTCGGAACCCCAGTGGGGGATACACCCCTGGAAGCCTGAAGGAAGCTGACTCTATCCCCCACCAATGGAAATCAGATCGGCCAGTGAGGCCCAGGCCACGCCCATGGGGCTGGGGGGCGGTCCAGCGATGCTCACTTCCCCCCCTCTCCACCGTCTCCCCTTGCTCTCCCTCCTCACCGCTCCCGCTCTAGACCTTCCGCTCGCCCCCCTCGCCCTCTCCCTGTCCGCCTGTCTGGGTCGACCCTCGAGCGTCACTTTCCCCCCCCCTTCCCCCATCTCCCCTTGCTCTCCCTCCTCACCGTTCCCGCTCTAGACCTTCCCCTCGCCCCCCTCGCCCTCGCCCCGTCCGCCTGCCTGGGTCGACCCTCCAGCGGGCGGTGGCCCTCGATCTTCGGCTGCCTCGGCCGCCAAACATCCCATGCCGTGGCAGTGGCTATTGCCTCTTCTTGCTCCCCCCTTAGCTTAAGTCGGGCGGACGAATATTCAAAGATAGTCCAACAACAGCCTGGGGACGATTTTCGACCAGGGTCGACTATTTCTTGATTATTCTGGCCGTTTTCCATCCTTCTTCCAACATCCGCCTCAAGGGGGACATGCCCGACCTGACCCTACGCAGGTCGCACTTGGATCAGGTGCCCGCAGTGCTCTCTCCTTGCCCTGCTTCCTCCTCTCCCTTTGTCAACCTCTCTCGCTCTCCCTCCCCTCCCCGCTCCGTTCCCCCAGCTATCCCCCTCGAACCTCTTCGGGCTCCTGACGGCGGGACGGTGGGAAGGCATCCACCGCCACCGCTCTCTGGTGACCCTGGGCAGGGCTGCAGACGTTGTGGATCCTCGCACCTGCCCGCGGTGCACCTCCCCTCCGCCCCCCGCTCCCGCGTGAGTGCGCGTGTTCTGCAGAATCTGATTGGCAAGGGTGCCGACTTCGTGCGTGCGGGCGCACACGCATTCACGAGTGCACGTGTGGAAGCTGAGCAGGGGCTGTTCTTTCTGATAACAGATGGGTGAGCCGGAGAGGCCGGCCCAGCGATGGACATCAGCAGGGCCGCGTGAGATCCCGTTGGCGCCACATTCGGCCAGACGATTTGCGCGCTCGTTCAAGTATTGCCCCGTATGGCTTTCCACCTTCCTGAAAGCAACACGACAAGCGCCCCGATTACATATATGACGCACACGAGGCGCGAGTCGAAGGTTCGTCCGCCACCAGGAGTGCCGCGGCGCCACGCCAGCCGCGCACTCCGAGTCATACTCGATGATGCTGGGTGGCGAAGATGGCAAGGTGGCAACAGGTTCACGAACCCAGTGCGCAGAGAAGCATACAGGCAGAGACTGTTCACCAATCTTGTCGGAGAGAGGATCTGCACCGAGCTGTCCAGGCTCGGCCGGGTCCAGGACGGTGGGCCCGCAATCATCCATGGGGCGGGTAAAACGACGCGAAGATCGGGACAAAATCGGATCGGGATAACTCGAAATCTCTGAGAATCGGCGGGTTTGGAGGATGTCTTGGGCGCCGCGGCCGCTCCAGAGCGTTCGTGGAACGCTCTGAGAGCGCTCCGGAACGCTCTGGAGCGATTTATCCCGATCCTAGCCTCGTTTTAGAAGGGGCCGAAGCAACCGCAAGGCCCCAACCAGAATCGTCGGCAATCGGCCTGCTGGTCGCCGAGCCAGCACGCGACAGCACGAGGGCATCGATGTGCTCGCACAGCGCCCGGGGGCGGGCTGCGGAGGCAGCCGGTCCCGGCGCTGGCCTGCCGGCGGGTGCTCCCCCGGACCCCTGGCCTGCTGCCCGCGGCGCCCGCTGGCTGAGGCAGGGCAGAGGAGGCAGAGCAGCACGATCTATATATATATATATATATATATACACACACATATATATATATATATATATATATATCCATATATATACATATCTGTTATATATATACATGTGCATATATCTATACACACATTATATATATGTTTATCTATGTACTCATTTTATGCATCTACTTATTTATTCATGCCTTGATGTACGTATGTCTTTATGCATTTGTGTATTCAGTCATTTATTTATTGGTCCATACCTGTATGTATATATGCTCTCTCTATCTATATATGCTCCACCGGATAGGAAAGGCACTGACCCAGCTCAAGCAGGACTGGTTGTTGGCGACGCTCCGCGGCACAGGCCAAAGCAGCAATGGCGTTCACGTGCAAGAGGTGCTCCGTGATGTACTTTGCCTCCTCCAAGGACGGCGTTGTGCCTATGCCCAGACCGTGAGGGAGCAATCCGCACCGTGCCAGACATGGTGGAAGACCGTCTGGATAGTTGTTCCCAGGGGTGCGTGCGTCCAGCGTACGGCAAGCAGCTGCATTGCATGGGCAACCCCGCAGTCGGTGCATGGCGGTCTTGACCGCGCCCTTGCAGCGAACGCAGATCTCGTCGCCGTCGTGGTTCTGAATCTGGGATTTGCTCAGGGAGGTCCAGATGCCGTCTGTGGTGAGCGCGGGGCCGCCGTACAGTGGATACCCATGCCAAGAAACACCCTGTTTGCCTCCAGGGTGCCCTGGGTTTCTTGGATTTCAATTGTCTTGCAATGGGAAGCGTGACGTTCCCACACCAAGAATCAATGGACGTCCTGGGGTCTCAGGGTTTCTTGTGGAAGGTTTCTTGTGGTCGGGCCCCTACTGTACGGATGCCGAATTTGAAAGGGTAGTAGGTGCTCCTGAAAGAACTAGCGGTGCGCCATGCCAATGCCCAGCGCCCGACACGCTGGATCCAGCAGAGAAGACGGGCCAGATTCGTGACGTCGTCGTTGCGCCCACAGCGCGCGCCACGCATCCCAAGGTACGGACGGTATGGGCCAGGACGACCCAGCAGAACATGCGGATACCAGTGTACACAGCCGCGCACGTCAAGTGCGTACGGTGTGCGCCTGGCCCCAGCAGGTTCGTGAGGCCGCGCCATCTCCGGCCCACTCGGCCCGGCGATGCGTTCCCTGTCAAAGATTCGGCGGCCCAGGCCGCGGCGTCCGCCATCTGGCTCTTCGTAAACGCGCAGCCGCCGTCACGCCAGAGCGCGGCCACGGCGTCGGCGACCCTAGGGGCCCCAGGCGGCCCTGGAGGCAGGTCCGCTGATTCGGCGTGCGTCCGTAGTCGCACGCCGAGGGCCTCTCTTGCCCCTCGCTGCAATCCGCTATGACACCAACTGCCAGCGCTTGGCGCGCGCACCGTGAGCCCGTGCGGCGCCCTACAGACTCTGTCCTCATCGGCGTGCGCGCTCTCTCTCTGCGCACCTCCTGCGCACCCATCCGTGCAGCGGCACGGCAGAGTGCGTGCTGATGTGCTCGCTCTCTCTCTCTCTCTCCTCACTCTGTCTCCCTCTCCCTCTCTCGTGCCTGCCTTCCTTTCTCGCCTCGTCGCGGAGGTGGACTCGTACCTGAGGTTTGCGGAGAAATTGGCCAACAGCAGCAACACCTCGGATAACATACTCATCCTGGCGGCCGGGTTCGGGGATTCTGTCGCGAGGAGTGGGGAAGGCGAGGCAGAGAAGGAGGAGGAGTAGGAGGAGGAGGAGGTCCAGAGCAAACCCAAGACTCATCAATGATGTTGGAATACACCCTCCCTCCAAGCTCCTTCTTCATAGGCCCCCAAAAGGGTTCATTTCCACTGAGGGAATTGCCCCCTTGAGGGGCAACCGTGTGAAAATAGTGAAGCGTTTTTTAAACGCCATTCTCAGGACTTCAACGCCACGAGTTAGCCTGACTGTTTCTGAATCGTGTCAGAACACCGTTCCTGGGACATCAACACCGCGAATGAACGCAACAGTTGCGCCCTGGCAGTCCTGAATCGTTCCAAAACACCGCTTCTGGTACGTTAACCATGAGAACCAGTAAAGCTCTTGAATTGTTAAGAACAAATGTGCGCGGCGCTCAGGCGAGAGTCACATTTTGACCGCCCTGAATCCGTGAAGCTCCTGCACATGGTTAACACAATGTGCGCGGCGATACAGCGAGAGCCACATCTTGAAAACGACCCGCTTTCTACCCGTGAAGCTCTGGACACTGTTAAACCGAGTGTGCGTGGCGCTATTGCGAGAGCCACATTTTGTATATCACCCGCCCTCCATGTGTGAAGCTGTCGCCAGTTTTGAAGCTTCAGGCTCATAAGTTGTTTGATAGTCTGAGGCGAAACGTACCGCCCGCCTCTCCGACTGGCTTGGGGGTGCGACAGGGGGGATTTTTTCATACAGAAGAACGGAGCAGGAGGAGGAGGAGGAGGAGGAGGAGGAGGAGGAGGAGGAGGAGGAGGAGGGGAGGAGGAGGAGGAGGAGGAGGAGGAGGAGGCGGAGGAGGAGGAGGAGGAGGAGGAAGGAGGAAGGAGGAAGGAGGAGGAGGACGGAGGAGGAGGAGGAGGATGAGGAGGACGGAGGAGGAGGAGGAGGAGGGAGGGAGGAGAGGAGCATAGGGACAAGGACTGGAGGAGGAAGGAGGGAGGAGATCTTTCTTTCGAGGGAGGAAGAGAGGTGGCCCCAGGAGAGCTCCCAGGAGGGCCCCCCAGGAGAGGCCCCCAGGAGGGCCCCTCCACGCTCGCTGAGCACCGTGCCTGCCGCCCCCCGCCCCCCCCCCACCCCCCCCCCTGCGGGGCAGAGTGTGGACAAAACTCGGACACGGCGTGCGGGTGGCTGCAGCATACGAGGAGATGCTCCACAGGAGCGCCGCCCCCCCGGCGGCGGCGCGGCGGCGGCGCGGGGAGGGGAGGAGGAGGAGGAGTGAGGATGAGGAGGAGGAGGAGGAGGAGGAGGGGGAGGAGGAGGAAGGGGGGAGGAGGGGGAGGGGAGGGGGAGGAGGGAGTGGAGGAGGAGGAGGAGGAGGAGGAGGAGGAGGATAGGAGGAGGAGGAGGAGGAGGAGGAGGAGGAGGAGGAGGAGGGAGAGGAGGAGGAGGAGGAGGAGTAGGAGGAGGAGGAGGAGGAGGAGGAGTGGGAGGCGGAGGGGGAGGCGGAGGCGGAGGCGGAGGCGGAGGCGGAGGCGGAGGAGGAGGAGGAAGGAGGGAGGGAGGGAGGGAGGGAGGGAGGGAGGAGGAGGAGGAGGAGGAGCAGGAGCGAGGAGGAGGAGGAGGCAGATGAATCTTGGGTCTCTCACATCAAGTGGGCCACTCGCACTAGCGAGGAGCTTGCCACCAAGTTCGGAGTGGAGGGTCGGACAGCGCTCTTCAGGAAGGCAAACAAGGCGCTGGCCGACAAGCTCTACGTCTGCGCAGACAGCCGGACGAGTGGGAGAGCGCTCCACCGGGCGCAGTGGCGTAGGGTGTTGGCCGCGAGGAAGCGAGGCGGACAGCACGAACGCTGGACCGACGCTTGCCGACGATACGGTGTTTCCCACAGCCCGGTACGGTGTTTCCCACAGCCCGGCGCAAGGCCGGAGGTGTAGGGGCGCTCCTGACACCTCTATGAGCTGTCTCTCTCTCTCTCTCTCTCTTTCTTTGCCCGACTACTGCGCCGGGTCGTCTTCCCGATTCCAGCTCTTGTCCCCGCGTTTCCTCTCCGATGCCATGTTGTCTTCTCTCCGACTCTGGTTGCGACCCCCGCGATTCTGTTCTTCACTCTGCCTCCAGCTCTTGCCCCCGCTTTCCGCACGCGTGTTCGTCTCACCCACTCGTGCCCCGCTGTTCCCGACTGCAGCTCTCGTCTCTTTGACTCGCTCCTGTCCCGGCTCCGACTCGACCCCGGCCCGGCACCAACGATGGTTCTGACCCCGGCTATGGCTCCTTTTCCGTCGCTTGCTTCTGAACCCTGGTGCGATTCTGACTCCGACTCTGGTCCTGCTTGCTTTTCTGAAGAATCCGCAGCTCAGAATCCAGCTTTGGCACGCTGGCCGCGAATCAGGCTTCGACCCCAATCCTGTGTTCATTCCGACTAAACAAATCAGGTTGGACATAATCACGCCCAACTCTCGGCCGCAGTTTGTTCGACCGCGGGCTCTTCCCGACTCCTGACATCGTCGCTCCGACTCCGGCTCTTGTCCCCTGAACACATTACTTGTATACCACGGGCAGTATTTGTTTTGCCCGTCTCTGGCTTTGACTCTTGTCTTCATTACTTTGGTGAGCACTTTCTGTGTCGTCCGCAGGCCCCAGCAGGCGAGGCAGACCGCGACAGATGTGGGGAAAGTCGCTGGCTCGCACGAGCAACTTGCTGCCTACTTCCGCCCAGAGGGAGGTGCAGCTCGCACGTGGGAGCAGGCCGTCAAAGGCTGGCCGGGAGGCTGGAGGCATCCAAGCGAATCTTAGGTCTCATCCTGCTCACGCACCGTCTGGTGCAAGGCTTACCTGGCCTGACCTGAGCACGTCCCCTTCAACTGCGGACGCGTCTTTCCTGTTCCGACTTCCATCCGATTCTGGATCTCATCTCTCCCTTTCCGGCTCCCGCCATTCCGACTCTTGACTCGGGCCCCAGCCCGCCGGTCTTGCCTTCGCGTTTAGGGCGGTCCCTAGGACCGACGGTGCAGTTCCCGCTCCTCCCTTCTGCTCCCTTTTCTTCTCCTCCCTCTTTCCATCTAGGCTTCCCAGATGGGGTCGGAGTAGATGGGGTCGGAGGTTCGCGCCGCATCGCCGATGCATCGCCGATGCGGCTCTCTGTGGAACCTGATTTGCTTCACGTTGACGTCGCCGATGCATCGCCGACGTCGACGACACATCGCCTGTGCATCGCCGATGCATCGCCGATGTATCGGCGATGCGGTGCGATCCTCCGACCCCATCTACTCCGACCCATCTAGGAGGCCTCTACAGTGGATGCCCATGCCAAGAAACACCCTGCTTGCCTCCAGGGTGCCCTGGATTTCTTGGGTTTCGATGGTCCTGCCGTGGAGAGCGTGCCGTCCCAACGCCAAACCTCAATGGACGTCCTGGGGTCTCAGGGTCAGGTTTCTTGCGGAAGGCTTCCCGCGGTCGGGCCCCAACTGTGCCCCACCTCCTTCTTCCTCTCTCCCTCATCCCCCTCCTCCTCCTCCTCCTCCTCCTCCTCCTCCCTCCTCCTCCTCCTACTCCCCTCCTCCTCCTTTCCTCCTCCTCCTCCTCCTCCTCCTACTCCTCCTCGCGCGCGCCTCCTCCTCCTCCTCCTCCTCCTCCTCCTCCTCCTCCTCCTCGCTCCTCCTCCTCCTCCTCCTCCTCCTCCTTCTCCTCCTCTTCCTCCTCCTCCCCCTCCTCCTGTTCTCGCCGCGCCCGCGCGAGGTACGACCTCATCACCAGGCTCGCCAACGCGACGGTCGTCGCGGGTGCCGACAACAGCCTCTTCCCAGAGTGGGACACGCCCGTGGTGTGGGGGGGCATTCGCAGCATTCTCGCAGGGGAGGACGAGGACGACGAGGAGGGAAGACGCGAACGAGGAGGAGGAGGAGGAGGAGGAGGAGGAGGAGGAGGAGGAGGAGGAGGAGGAGGAGGAGGAGGAGAGGAGGAGGAGGAGGAAGGAGGAGGAGGAGGAGGAGGAGTGAGGAGGAGGAGGAAGGAGGAGTTGGAGGAGGAGGAGGAGAAGGAGGAGGGAGGAGAGGAGGAGGAGGAGGAGGAGGAGGAGGGAAGGTTTCTTGTGGGCTGGCCTCCAGTGTGCTCGCACAGTGCCTATTCGCACACGTCCGAAAAACCTACGTTTGCATCGATGGAACTTATCGTGCGTAGATTATCGTGCGTAACCCTGAAGGGTCTTTAGTTTGGACCCCCCCCCCAAACCTCTCCGGCGGTGAATCAACTGGCCCTCCCTCCTACCTCCTCTCCTCCTCCTCTCCCTCCTTCCCCCTCCTCTCCTTTCTCCTCCTCCTCCTCCTCCTCCCTCCTCATCCTCCTCCTTCCTCATCCTCCTCCTCCTCCTCACTACTCATCCTCCTCCTCCTCCTCTACTCCTCCTCTCCTCCCCTCTCCTCCTCTACTCCCCACCCCCCCTCCTCCTCCTCCTACTCCCTCCTCCTCCTCCTCCTCCTCTCCCCACCTCTCCTCCCTCTCCTCCTCCTCCTCCTCCTCCTCATCCTCTCCTCCTCCTCCTCCTCCTCCCCCCTCCTCCTCCTCCTCCGCCTGCCTTCCTCCTCCTCTCCTCCTCCTCCCTCCTCCCCTCCTCATCCTCCGAATCCTCCTTCCGCCTATCCTCCTCCTCCTCCCTCCCCTCCTCCTCCTCCTCCTCACTCCTCCTCCTCCTCCTCCTCCTCCTCCTCCTCCTCCTCCCTCTCGGCGGTGAACACAAGAGGCCACTTGCGAGCAGTCACTTCGCGGGCAGTGGGAGCGCGCTCGGCTACTCCCGCAGCGCCGACGCCCGCAGGCGGCGGCGCCGGCGGCGTGGCGAGGGGGAGGGCCGCCTGCGGCCCCGCCCGCGGCGTCTCTCTCTCTCTCACTCTACCGCCTGGCCGTCTGCCGTCTCCCGCGGGCGGCGCTGCCCCGCCGGGGCAGAAGGAACCTGCCCAGAGATGCAACGTATTGGAAAATCGGGACGTTTTTTTTTTTTTTTTTTTTTTTTTTTTTTTTTTTTTTTTTTTTTTTTTTTTTTTTTTTTTTTTTCAGATTTCGGCCCCCAGGGGCCCTCGCCGGGCCTCGGGACCGTCAAAAAACGACTCGGGATGAAAGTCCGGTCCCAGGGAGTGGGTCGAGACTTCTGCTGGGGACCCCGCATTGACAAAATCACGGATGTTTGAGGCACCGGAAGACATTTTCCGACCCCGCAGTCGGCCAGTCCGGCAGTCGGCCAGTCGGCTGGTCGGTCAGTCAGAGCGGGCCAGGGGCGGAGGGGGGGAGTCGGATAGTTCATCCCGGCGCCTCAAACACCCGGAGATCCGATGTCGTGATTTTGCCAATGCGGGGTCTCCAGAGGGCTCGACCCCTTCCCCAGGGCCGTCTTTTCATCCCGTGTCGTTTTTGTGACGGTCTCAAGGCCTGGCGAGGGCCCCTGGGGGCCGAAATTTGAGAAAAACCTCCGTCTTGATTTTTGAAATGCGTTGAATCTCTGGGCATGTTCCTTCTGCCAGGCGAGGGCCCCTGGGGGCCGAAGTCGGCGAAACGTCTCCGCCCCGACTTCTTCAGTGCGTTGGATCTCTGGGAGATGGTCCACAGGCGCCTGGGGTTAGGTCGGGCGTGTCCCGCTACAGGAGGATTCTGATAGAACCATAAACAATGCTCACAAAAGATACTCCCCGAGTGCCCCAAAGTACTGCGAAAATAGCCCCCAGACCATGTTTTGACTACTTTTGGATATTCCCCCTGTAGAGGGACAGGGCCGACTTCAGCCCAGGGGGGGGGGGGGGGGGGGCCTGCGAGCCCCGGGCCTCGCAGCCCCGGGCGCCGCGCCACTGGCGAGCCCTTCGCCGCGCTTCTGCCCCGTCACCACCCACCAGACCACCCCAACCCACCCCGAAGGCTCAGATGGACCCTCGATCTCTACACGCTGCGAAATGCTTAAGAAATCATGGGTTAAGAAATTCATAGTCTCAGAACTCGAATAAAACCCAGAACTTCTATCAACATCTTGGGATTTACATTGAAACGTTAAGAATAATCGAGACTCTGGACGAAAACTTAGGTTTTCTTAAGCATCGCCTAAGGTGCAGTGTGGGGGGGGTCGGGAAACATCGAGAAGACACGCGTGTCGGGGGAGCGTAAGACCCGGGTTTGCCAGGACTCGGGTTCGCCATCGTTTTTTGACGACCGCGCCTCGGATTTTGACGAGGAGGAGTTTCGTGGGATGTCTGCAGCGGGAGGCCTCGTCAAAATGCAGGCTCGGCCTCGTCATTTTTTGGACGACCTCGTCGGGGATCTCCGAGTCCACTGTACCCAGGTCTTACGTCCCCCTGAGCGCGGAACCCGTACCCCCCCCAACCCAAAATTCGGGTCTTCGGGTTGGGTTTGGGTGGTCTGGCAGGTCGTCCGCCCCGCCGCGGGCCGCCCCGCGGCGCGGCCGCCGCGAGGAGGAGGAGGCGGAGGAGCGAGGAGGAGGAGGAGCGAGGAGGAGGTGGGGGTGGTCTGGCAGGTCGTCCGCCCCGCCGCGGGCCGCCCCGCGGCGGGGCCGCCGCGGTCGCCCCGCGGCGGGGGCGCCCCGCGGCCGGCCGCCGCGCCGCCGCGGAGGCCCTGCGCCGCGGGCTGCGGCCGCGCGGCGCGCGCGGGCCCGAGGCCTCGCCCGCGGTCAGCCGCGCGGCGCATCGGAGAGGAGGAGGAGGAGGGGGGGAGACGGGAGGACGAGGAGGAGGAGGAGGACGAGGAGGAGGAGGAGGAGGAGGAGGAGGAGGAGGAGGAGGAGGAGAGGGAGGAGGAAGGAGGGGAGGAGGAGGGGAGGAGGAGGAGGAGGAGGAGGAGCGAGGAGGAGGAGGAGGAGGAGGAGGAGGAGGAGGAGGAGGAGGAGACTCTGGAGACTCTGCCTGATCGCGTAGCGATATGAATATGGAGGTCCGCTGGCACCTACTGAAGTGCCTGTTGCTTCCCTAGTCTCTGGATGGTCTCAGCTTGGCTGAGCGCTTTGGGCCATGCCCCCATTGCAATACGACGCAGATACTCCCGCCCTGTGGCGGTGGGTGTGTCACATGCGACGGCTAACTTCCCGATCTGTCGGGAGGCGTACACCCCGCAGTGAAAACAAAACCACAATTTCAGCCCAGTGTGGAACCTTAAACGATGGGTTAAATGAGCATATCCCCCTGCCACATGTACCTGCATCCCGAGGGGGGGTCTCATATAAGTGCCATCAACATTGACAAGGTCATAACAACTGGTGCGAAGCCATTCAGTCTTACGGGCCTGGGTGGAGGAGTTCTGACACCTACTGCACCTACTACCCGTACTGTCTAGGGTATGTTGTGATGCAAACACTGCACAGACAGCGGGGGCTGGCGGTTTGGCTGGAGCCTTAGGCTTCGGCCTCCTACGACGCGGGCCCTCCTGGTGTGCTATTCTATCGGCCTCGAGAGCGTCTAAGTGGGCCCTAAGGATCCTCATCCTCACCGTGAACGCTTGCTGCTCAACTCTGGCATACTGCTGTCGGATGTGTTTGGGGATCCTGCATTCACGTGCCGCTCCCGCGGCTAGCTCATCCGCGACGGTGTTGCCGTAGGCTAGTGAGCTGCTGATTTTACCTGCACAGATGTCGGTCTCAGTCATATGGGACCGAATGCAGAGAACAACCACATCTGCTTGTCGCTCTCGAACAGCCTCACGGAGGCGGTACCACAGATCAGCATCGGCGCCCTCGGCCGCCTCCAAGTGGCCGTTGTAGTAGTTGAGATACACACCCTCACTGTCGGTGAAATAGACCAGGTCGCCCACCGTGGTGGTAACAGCCATCAGTAGGGCCATGAGCTCACCACGAATGACGGTCTGTCGCCCTCCTGGCAGTGGCCCCCATGCTGCGCCCTGCAACTCCATGCCGTTCCTGTCCAGGTCGTGGAACACGGCGATGGCCACGCCGACGCGGCGCATGGGAACACTGGAGGTGTCGCCGCCGCCACTGCCGTCACCGAAGACATAGATGGGCTCGCCTTGGCCGCGACCGAAACACCCTGGGCCATAGGCGTCGGCGCCGTCGACCTGCCAGCTCGCGTGGTCAGCTGGTGGTGGTAGACGGGTCCAGCTGCGAGGTAAAAGCCCTCGCGTCCAGTAGCACTCGAACATGTGCTGCTGGGTCGTGGCCTGGGTGATGAGGCTGTCCGTGGTCTCGTAGATCGGGCACTCCTTTCTGCATGGACACTGCCGTATCCGATGAAACTCCGTCTCTTCTGCTTCCCCGCATCGCTCGCAGTGGCCGTCGGTGTCGGCGCCCTTGACCTCGGCCTTGACGCGGGCCTTGGGCCACATGGCACCAGTAGCGATGGCCAGCATGAGCGTTGCGAGGCGCGGTCCATTCTCCATAGTCTCGAGGTAGCGCAGCAGCCGTCGGTAAGAATGATTATCAATTCCTTCTTCCATGCGGAGGAGGAGGAGGAGGAGGAGGAGGAGGAGGAGGAGCGAGGAGGAGGAGGACGTCCGCCCCGCTGTTTCGGGCGTTCTCCTCGGTGCTCGGCGGCCTTCCAGCCTCGGGATGCCTGCCAGCGGCTGCGCTTCGCCGAGGGCGTCCCAGGGGTGCCCAGATCGTGCCAAACGGCCGCCTGGGGCCCGAGGTAGGGCTCGAAAGCCGACGCCACGCGCAGTGGGAGGGCGGGGGTGAGGGTGGGATGCTTCTCTCGAAGCACCCCTGCTTCTCAGAGGGCGCGGGCCTTCTCTGTAGACGTGAGCCCTGCGCCTTCTGAGAATCGAAAGCGAACAAAAACGCCATACACATGCACTTTCGGAGTCTCGCGCGGATCTCTTGGATCTGCGCTGGGCCCCCCTGGCGGCGCCTCCAGCGCTGGCCCTGGCTGGCTCCGCGCGCCAGGGAGGGGGGCTTCTTCGAAGAAGCCTTCCCCCCTGCCCCCTGCCACCCCCCGGTGCGCGCCGCCAGCATGTGCTCGGGCCCGCCGCAGCGGTCCGCGAGCGCACTCCTGGCCGCCTCCGCTCCAGGGGCGACGAGGGGGGGCGAAGGTCCGGCAGGGGCGGGCACGGCAGCTCACCCGCACCGTGAGGATGAGCATCTTCCCAGGGTTACAGTCAAAACCTCTAATAAGGACGCGCGACTTTGCTCAGGGTACCCTGGCGTCCTTGCTCTTCCTTGCTCTTGCGTCCTTGGGGTTTTCGTCGTCCGCCGCCCCAAAAATCCCAACTTCGGCTTCCAAGGGTCTTGCGTCCTTGCCGCGCGTCCTCATTTGGGTTTTTGACTGTACCCCTGCAGAGGGACGTGCCCCAATGGAGGGACGTGCCCGACGTGAGGTTGCCCCTGCATCCTTCCCCTTCGGCCCACTCTTGGCCGCGTTCGCTGGCCGCGCCCCGCTCGCAGAGCGTCGGCATGGCCTTCTGGGGCCCTTTTTTGTATTTTTGCCGTGCTTTTTTATATTTTACGGGTTGGCTGCGCACGTGGGCGCCCAGGAGCCAGGAGCGCATAGCTGATGATGATGATGATGATGATGATGATGATGATGATGATGATGATGATGATGCTGATGATGATGATGATGATGATGATGACGATGATGCGGATGGTGATGCTGATGCTGATGCTGATGCTGCTGATGATGATGCTGATGATGATGATGTTGACGATGATGCTGCTGCTGATGATGCTGCTGATGATGATGCTGCTGCTGATGATGATGCTGCTGATGATGATGGTGATTCTGATGGTGGTGATGATGATGATTATGATGCGGCTGCTGCTGTTGCTGCTGCTGATGATGAAGATGATGTTGATGATGATGCTGATGGTGAGGATGATGATGCAGATGATGATGATGATGATGATGATGACGATGATGATGATGCTGCTGATGATGATGCTGA